TATATATATATATATATATATATATATTTTTTTTTTAAATATGTCTTTATTTCAGAGAGAGGAAGGGAGGGGGGAGAGAGAGAGATAGAAACATCAATGATGAGAGAGTCATTGATCAGCTGCCTCCTGCATACCCCCTGCTGGGGATCGAGCCTACAACCCGGGCATAGGCCCTGACTAGGAATCGAACCTTGATCTCCTGGCTCCTAGGTTGATACTGAACCGCTGAACCACACTAACTGGGCAGAAAGATCTCAGATTTAAAAGGCCCAATAGAATACCAAGTAAAGAAAAAAACCTGCACCTAGACACATTATAGTGAAATCCAAGACTATTAGAGATAGAAAAAGTCTAAAGCTTACCCAAGAGAGTAAGTAATGTTATTAGGGAACAAAATTCAAATTGATATCACACTTTTCAACAGCAACATAGATTATAAGAAATGATAGAGTAATATATTTTGAGTATTGAAGAGATAATTGAAAGAAAATAACTTTGAACCTTGAATCCAGCCAACTGTCATTCAGATAGAAGAGCATGATTAAAATACTCTCAAACATAGAAGACTATTGAAGATCAGCAATACAGAATCCAACATGGGGAACATTTCTGAGGAGAACTCAGATGAATAGAGAAATGAATCTGGCAGATGCTACTCGATGTGTAGTGTACACATGTCAGATGTGTAAAGAATGATCAAGTAACAAAGTAAAGATTATTGTCTTTAAGAAATTAGCCATGACCAAAGGAAAGATACAGAGGAAGTATATCCATAAAACATGAAGATTGGGTGGAAGGGAAATCAGGGACATGAGGGCATGGTAAAGTTCTTGGCTTAATAAAGGGATAACATTTTTTTATCAAAAAGAAAGAATGTAAAAAGAAGTGCAGAAAAAGCAGTGGACAAATTGAAATAACAAAGTCAGTTAAAAGGCAGAGATTGATGACTCAATAAAAAAATTCCAACTATATGTTTGTTTACAAGAAATACCCTAAGTCGTAATTTAAAATTATATAGGGGGAGGAGCATGGATCAGATGTACATGAAAATATTTGAGAATTGAGGATCCTAACAAAGCATTTGCTTACGAGGGTTGTATCTACCAATAGTATTACCATATTAGAAATTAAAACTGAAAATAAATTGGTTAATTAAAAAATAGTAATAATATACCCCTTCTATGTTAACATAAGTAACATTTTAATGAAAAATAACTATTGTACTAAACAACAAAGAAATTTAGTGAGGAAAGTGGCATTATTTTATGCATTTTTATAAATTTCTTTAAACATCTGATTTAATAAAACATAGCATCTGTTATCTGCTTCTGCATTGATTGAGATACATGAGGAGAATCCTAGGGCCTTGTGGATCTTTTGAAGCAATCTGGGGAACCCTCGGAGGGGTCACACTTTGAGAACTACTTTTTCTATACAATTTTCTTATTTTCCCATATTCCCTCTCACCTTCCAGTTTTGCTTTTTGTTATTTCCTACCTTATTTGTTGTTATTCTCCAGTTTCAGATTGATCTTCTCTAAGTCTTCACTGATAATTCTCATCTCTGTGACTATCTCTTCTCCAAAATTTATTGGCAAATATAGTTGGTTCCTCATGATTTATATTTAAGTGTTCTCAGTTTTCTTATGTGTTTTCTCTTTCCAGTTATATTATAAAGCTCCTTTTAAAAGTAGGGACTCTTAAGAATTGACAAGACAAAACAAGAATTTCTCCTTACACACAGTGTAGGTACAAAATAATATTTCTTGGTTGATAGAAAGTGACCTTCAGGAGAGCACATAGAGATCACAAATTCTCTTTTGGCTTTAAATGGTTTATTGGAAAATTATAGTATCTTACCCTTTATCTGCTACATGGTAATACTTTTGGTATTGTAAGTGGTGACTTTGTTTTTTATTGTTGACATTATTACAGATGTCCCTCATTTCTCTCCCCGTTTGCCCCCTTCCACTCAAAGTCCTCCTTGCAAGCCACTTATTGATTCATTTATTTTCTTGCCATTTCAGAAAAAAGCCAAAGGTCAAGAACTGTTTGATCAGATTACATACCACTTGGACCTTATTGAAAGCGACTATTTTGGACTGAGATTTATGGATTCGGCACAAGTAGCAGTGAGTAGTTGTTTTTTGGAGGTTCCAATATGGCGGGCAGAAATGGAAAATTTCAGATAACATGCTAAGTGCTACAAGGCTACATATTCTTTTTTCTTCTTTTTTAAGGCTACATAGTCTTAATGTGTTCTTTTTCCCTTTGATTTTTATTATTATGATGCTCTTGTTTAAAAAAAAGTGAGTTCTAGCCCTAACCCAAATTATTAAAGGATGATCTTTGTGGATGAGGCTTGAAAATCTGTGGGGTTTTTAATAACAGTAGGGTTTATTCTTGGGCATATTAGAATTGGAGAAGCACTGCGTAATGGAAAGAATGTCAGAGTTTTGTAGGTAAGTGACAGAAGTTTCCACCTTGTAAATTAAGGTGAGCTGACTAGGATATTTCTCTCTAAGATCCCTTCCAGATCTGTGATTATGGATCTATAACTAGATGTTCTTTGTGCATTTCAGATAAGAAAACAGTATATGTAATAGGGTAGGAAGTTGGAGGCTTTTCAAACAACTGTGTATTATACTAGGATTTAACTGGAGGATATTTGAAAGAAAGTGTTAGATAAGATTGGGAAATGAAATAGTGGTGGTATCACCCAAACTGAATACCAAAAATGTTAAATGTAGTCGTGTGCCACATAATGACATGTCAGTCAATGATGGACCACATATACGACACTGGTTCCATAAGATTATAATGGAGCTGAAAAATTTTTATTGCCTAGTGATGTAGTAGTGCAGTGCTATGCTATTTTAAATAAATTTAGTGTAGCTTAAGTGTACAGTGTTTATACAGCAGTGTACAGTAATATCGTAGGCCTTCCTGTTCAGTCACCACTCATTCCTTCACTGACTCACCTAGAGCAGCTTCCAGTCCTCCAGGCTCCATTCATAGTAATTGCCTGTACAGGTGTACCATTTTTAACCTTTTATGCTGTGCTTTTACTGTACCTTTTCTATGTTTGGATATGGTCAGGCACACAAAACATTTATTGAATTCAATTCTAGTCTGCTACTTAGCCTGATAAAGGCTTAGTTGACTGTTTAGTTTATATCATTCAACTCTCATCTCTAGAATAAGGGATTAAAGTCTTGAAGTCAGATGAAAAAATAAATGATTTTAGGGGTAGACAGTTCATAGTTCACTGTTTTTTGAGGGGTTGAGGGAAAGAGGTAGAAGTATGCCAGTGTTAGGTTTCAGGTACTTAAAATATTTAAGTAATTGTGGAAAGAAATAGACATACAATCATTGCTAAGTTGTATTATTCACTCTTTGCGCATATCAGCAATTACTGAATTATTAAATCCCCAAATGATTATTTTTCCTTTTACTTGATACATATAGTACCTTTCTTGCTTTAATCTGTACTCTTTTTATTTCTAGTTTATCCCTTCCAATACCCAGAAATCTAGGCATTAAGATTAAATTTATATAGGCTTACTTTTTTTCTGTTTTTGCTGTCGCTAAAATACTCTAAACCAGCAATTTTCAACCTTTTTCATCTCATGCCACATGTAAACTAATTATTAAAATCCTGGGACACACCAAAAAATATATTTTTTGCCATTCAGACAAAAAATAAAAAAGGTATACAGTAATTTTGATTCATTCACACTGGATGGCTATTGTTGTGTTGGCTGTTGTCATTTTTTTATATGACAGTCTGAGGGAAAAAGAAGTCAGTGCTCCTGACTTAAATAGTCAAGTATTGCATGTTTTAAAAATTCTTGTGGCACAATGGTTGAAAGTCACTGCTCTAAACTATGTGACTTGAGCCAAAAGAACAACAATTAGTAGATGAAAACTATTAAAAATAAACTCTAGAAAGCACTTTAAGTGTTCTTAAAGTGCTAACTCACTTGATTCCGTAACAGTCTTATGACATTAAGTAAACATAGAGAAGACTTTCAGTTATTTGTTGTGTGGCCAGATTTAAGGCCAGAATGAAACAACATTAATATTTACAAAACACTTCAATTTATTAGTGAAGATAGTGAACATGAAAGATTAATGGATTATTTGGCCAGGATCACCTATGTAAACTATGTTAACCCAATTATTTGCATATTTCTTTGTTATATTTACTGTGTTGACAAAACTGTAGAATCTAAAGGGGTTAGGCATGATAAAGAAATGACCAAGGCATTAACATGCTACTGTTTAACCTTGAATATATGGCATGTCCCTATATGTAAAATTAGTTTGTTAAACTTCCATTTATTGGTCTTTTTCGATCAGTCTAACATATGTATGACTAGAATTATGCATCCATCATAAGGTAACCAAAAATCAGTAAGTTGATGAAGCCATAGTTTACTGTTCTTCCTTTGAATAACATAATCTAGGTTTGCTCTGATTAATATGTGTATAATCTTATACATGATTTTTTTTTGCTGTTTTTTAAAGTTATTTACCTTTGCTAATACTGGCCTATTTTATGTGAAAATGTGAATATGTGTTCATATTTAACTTTATAGTTTAAACAATCTCATGTTTACAGCAAAGTTACATGACACTATAAATATTTTTCTGGAATCATCTAAGAGAGAGTTGGAGATGTTCCATCACCCCTGAATTCTTCAGCGTATGTTTCCCAAACAAGCATATTCTATTGGATAACTAAATACAACCAACAAAACCGGGAAGCTAACTTAACATTCTGACATTACTACCATCCGTTGAAGTTAGGCTGATTGCCCCTTGAGTGTTCTTTAGAGCCACAGGATCTAGTTCAGAATCAGACTTTACATTCAGTTGTCATGTCTTTTTAGTGGTCTTCAGTCTTTCCTTGACTTTCATGACTTTTACACTTTCAAAGATATAGGGCAGTTATTTTGTAGGTTGTCTCTTGATTTGGGTTTGTCTGATGTTTCCTCATGAAGTAGGTTAATCTTAGACTCCTTTGTCAGGAAATAACAGAAGTGATCCTGTGTTCTCATTCTGTCCTATCAGGTGACATTTAATTTCATTGTATCCCATTACTGTGAATATTAACTTTGATCCCCTGATCAAAGGTGGTGTCTGCCACGTCCTTTCCTAGTTATTTTACTCTTCGTAATTAATAATTTTTTTTGTGGACAGTTACTTTGAGACTTTCTCATCAAACTTTGTATTTATTTATTTATGAGCTAATGGATTCTTGTTTTATTCAGTGGATCATAATCTGTCACTATCATTTATTTTGATGCTCCAATTTTCCCAGATTTGGCCAGTGGGAGCTGCTTCAAGATGGCTTCTATATCCACGTAAGATGCACACATCATTCTTGGAGCACTTCCTGACTTTCTGGCCCAAGAAGATGTTCATCTTGTATTTCCCTTTTCCGGCCCTAGAATTTGCCAGTTCTCTGATGAGCTTGGCTTTGTGGCTAAATTTAGGGACTGTATGTTTACATTTCTCTCTATTCTCTCTCTCTCTCATTATGTATATATCTCTCTCTCGCCACGACTTCACACCCATAACTCCGATTTTAGCCCAGTACCACAGGACTACTTCTCTTCTACAGAAACTAGTTCTCTTCTATGGAAACTAGGCTTTATCATCAGTATATTTACTTGACTTATTGCTTACTCGGTGTGGGATTCATCTCCAGCCTTTCCTTGCACAGATGCTGGCCTTGCTCAGACCACCTTATTACTTCTGGACTGAATTATTTGGGAAGAGGAAGGGCTTATGAAACTCCTGATTTTCCAGTTGCCTTATTAATACAGATATGTACTTCTTTGCTGATAGTGTTGTGGAGTTGTCTCCTCTAGAGATTTGTAGTAGGATTAGAGGATATACAGATGGCAAATAAACACATGAAAAGATGTTAAACATCACTAGACGAAAGGGAAAGGCAAATTAAGACCTAGATGAAACATCACTACACATCTATTAGATCAGCTGAAATAAAAAATAGTGACAATTCAGTGCTGGTGAGGATGTGGAGAAACTGGATCTCATATAGGTTTTGGGAATATGAAAATGGTACAGCCACTATGGAAAATAGTCAAGCAGTTTCTTTAAAAACTTACCATATGACAGCAATTATATGCCTGGCCATTTATCCTAGAGAAGTAAAGACTTATTTTCTCACAAAAACCTGTGCATGATTGTTCATAGCAACTTTATTTGTAATAGCAAAAAACTTGAAAAAACCAATATATCTTACAGTAGGTTAATAATTAAACCAATTGACACATTTATAACATGGGACACTATTCATCAATAGAAAAGAAAAATCTAATGATACACAACTTGGATGGATTTCAAGGGCGTTGTGCTGAGTGAAAACAGCCAATCTCAAAAGTTCACATACTGTATGATTCCATTTATATTACATTCTTGAAATGACAAAATTATAGCGACAGATCAAATTAATGGTTACCAAGGTTTAAGGATGTTAGAGATAGGAGGGGTGAGTATGGCTATAAAGGAGTAGTGTGGGAGAACTCTTTGTGTTAATGGGATATTTCTTTATCTTGATGGTGGCATTGGTTATAGGAATCTAAATGTGTGATAAAATGATGTGGAACTATATACAGTAGGTCCTTGAATAATGTCATTTTGTTCATTGTTGTTTTGTTCTAACATTGATGAGAAAAGAAAAAAACACCACCAACAATTACTGGCCAGGGCCACTGTCTGTGTAGAGTTTGCATGTTCTCCCCATGTCTGCATGGGTTTTCTCCGGGGACTCTCGTTACCTCCCACAGCCCACAGATGTGCAAGTTGGGTGAATTGGTGTTGGGTGAATTGGTGTGTTTACATTGTCCCAGTCTGAGTGAGTGTGGGGGTGTGTATGAGCACCTTCTGTCCAGGTGGGGTCCCACCTTGAGCAGCCAGGCCAGGCTCCAGTCACCCATGACCCTGAACTGAAATAAGCATGTTGAAAAATAATTATGTGTTTTATTTATCTTTCTTAAATGTATATATAGCTCACATTTACTTCAGTGTTTAATATTAGAAGTGTTTTGGGTTTTTATTTACAAGTTTGGTGTTGCTTTTATGACCAGAAATATGCGTG